AGGAAAGAGCCATAACTTTCACTTAAAGTGTGCCATTGTTTTTTTTTAGGTCTACCCAGAGCTCACTACATCATAACGGACCGCCCACATGTGCCTGTGAAACCCAAAGGGCCCTGCAGAAGCCTGCTGCTCTTGCTGCTGAAGGCCAGGGAGCCGTCCGTCAGGCCGCTGTCTGGGACTCCCCATCGGCCGTGGCCTTGGGAGAGTGCGCTGTCTGGGCACAGCAGACAGAGGTATTTGGGGGATGTCCCGGGGGGTCCAGCACGTGCTAATCATTCTCCAGAGCGTATTCTGCAGGCCTGTACTCCGGAGAGAGAGGCTGGCTGGAGGAGAGGCTGAACCTCCAGTTCATGAGGATGCCATTCTGGCCCGCCATCTTGGAAGGCTTCCCCAAGGCGTGGTGCCCACACTACTGGTCCATGTTCCCCTCCTATTTTTGTCAATTACTACAATCAACATTCATGTATCTTTAACAACTCATAAGCGCTTTTTTAAAGATTATTTATTTTGAGAGAGAGAGAGAGACATGAGCAGGGGAGTGGCAGAGAGAGAGGGAAAAAGAGAGAATCCCAAGCAGGGTCTGCACTGGCAGCGAGGAGCCTGACGTGCGGCTCAAACTCACAAACCGTGAGATCATGACCTGAGCCAAACTCAAGAGTTGGAAGCTTCACCGACTGAGCCACTCAGGTGCTCCATACAGCACTTTTAAATGCATCATTTATGTCCGTATTTACAACAACATACTGGAATAGACAGGGCAAGTGCCTTCAGACCAGTTTTACAGAGGTTCAAGTTTAACTGAAGGATTAAGTGTCCTTCCAAGAGTTGGGGCTCATGCTCAACCCAAACTCACATTTTCAAACTCGAGAACCAGGCTCTCTCCACCATCTCTGGCTATGTTTTCAGTTAAACAAAATCCTAACCACAAAAAAAAAAAAAAAAAAGACAGAAAGAAACGGAAGGAAAGGGAAAATAAAGGTGGGGGGGAGGGTAGAGAAGAAGGAGAGAATAAGGGAAGGAAGAAGGGTTGGGAGGCAGGATGGAAGCAAAGAAGGGAGACAGTTTTGAAAAGGCTTTATCTAGTCTATAGAACTGAGAGTATTTGGGAAGCAAAATTCTGGGTCTACACCCCAACGAACTGTGCTGTTCTGAGCAAGCTCTGGCAACCTCTGTGTGCCTGGGTACCTCCATGTCACATGGAGTTCCACCTTACGGGACTCCTGGGAGGAAGTGATGATGATTTTACAGAGGACCCAGGGCAGTGCCACTTCACAGTGGCTGCTTCCTTCGTGAATTCATTTCCATGACCTAATTGTGCTGAATTCTTCAGCCCCACTAACTCTCCCTCTGTTCTGAGTCCATTTAACTCACACTTCCGCCACCTATTTATCTGCCACACTTCATGTCCGCACTGAAGTTCGTTAGAAACACTGCGTAGCTTCTATACCCAAACCCACCCCCGCAGAGGCTCACCAGAGAAACCAGGTAAATAAAAAACAGCCGATCAGGAGAAAAGACGTGTAATTCAATTTAAAACTTGAAAATAAATGTCCTCCATCCTGAGTCTTATGGTCATTAAAGCAAATATTAAAGAATTCAAAAATCCTATAACACAGTTTCCTGGACTCTCCCACGCACCCTAAATCCAAGCAATACCAAAGAGGGGAGGCAAACGCTTTGATGATTTTGGTGGTTTTGAGGTGGTGTTGTCTCAACCTCTTCTTATCCAATAAGGTCGAGGGCCAAAACCATTCAGGGTTTGGTCGCCATCCGTGGAGGCGTGTCGCCTGGGCTCTGGGCAGGACGACAGCGACGGCCCTGTTCAGAGGAAAAGCGTCCACTCCCAGGACCAGGAGAGGTGCTGTGTCACTCGTCTACCGGCACTGACGGCTCCCAGTATCGTTCTTTCCTCAACGCGCAGCTTCCCAGGACTGAGCGTTTGTGAAGAACTGCAGCCGGGTCACTGACTACTGGCCACCGAGACCACAAGCCCTCAAAGAAAGATGGCGCCCGCTTTGTCAAGCTCCTGTAGTCACAACTGCACTGCCTTTAAAAATCACTCTCCCCAAACCGAGCCATAAACAACTCTTCTACACAGACCAGCACACGACTCCAGTGGAGGCAAGGCCAGTGTCCACAGTCAGAAGACACTATGTACGGTCTTGGTTTACCCAGACCTGAGCTCCCAGGAGATGAGGCGTGATACACAGCCGGTCCTTAGGATTCCTAGAAACCACAAAGACTGCTTCCTCAAGCCACACATAAAGACGGCCATATGGCTGACAGCCAATCTCCATTTATCCATCCGTCCTGCGGGTATTTAGGGCATGCCTACCTACTACGTGCCAGGCCCAGTGCCCAGAGCTCGAGACACACGCGGAGTTAGACATGATTCTTGCTGATGGTCCTGTTGAGGAGAGGAGCCGAATAATGTAGGACAAACGCACACGACCGTGCTGAAACTGGTCTCAGTGTAAATTAGTGGCCACGAATTCCCAACAGCCTTGGTGCTGACGGGCATTACACCGCATTTCCCAGCTCTGCCTGCTCTCCCGCCCTGTGGTGGCCGTTTCTGTCACAGAACGTTTGTCTCCGGCTTGCACTTCCCACCTGAACGCCAGACGCAAACACACAAATGCCACCCTGACACTCCGCTAGACAGCTCTCCGTCCCAGCTGACCGCCAACCCTCTGCCTTTCCGTCTTCTCTGCTCAGTGACAGGCAACCTCACTTGCTCAGCCTCCCAGTCTTCCCTGACTCTGCACATATCCCAGTAAGGAAACGCAGCGGTGCTGGGGGCTCTACCTCTGACATGCATCCAGGGTCTGACCACCACTCTCCCCCCCCCGCCCTTCCCCCGCTCTGAGACAGCATCACCTTTCACCTGGACGGCTGCCTCCTATCAGTTCCTCGGCTGCTGGCCCCCCTTTCTGTGATGCCTTCCCCCGCACCATGCGCAGCCATAGTGACCCTATAAAGCAGATGTCAGCTCATGCCTCCCAGGCTAAAAACCCTTCATTCCTCAACTGGGAGAGAGATTCAGGGCTTTACCACAGATTCTCTACTTACTACATGGTTTGAGCTCAGGCTGCTGCTGAGACTTCTGTACGATGCTTCTTTGGCTCGCTCCCTCCTAGTTCCTCGTGGAAACCACCAAGGCATGCGCATAAGTCAGAAACGTGACATCTGTGGGTCCCTCTGCTGTGCCTGATGTCACCCCAGGGAACTGCAGAGCTCCCTCCCTCGCTCTCCTCAGATCTCTGCCCAAATGTCCCCAGTGTCCCCAGAGAAGCCTTCCCTGAGCAGCCCACGGGAAAACAGCACCTGCCCCCAACTCCAGCCTCTGTCCCTTTCCCTGCCTTATTTTTCTTCACGGCTCTCGCCGTTACTGAACGTGCCTACATACATTTTTATTTGTTCATTTCCCCTCTCTCTAGAGCAGTGCCATCCAACAGAAAGAGAGCATGAGACAGATACGTACTGTTGAATTTTCTAGTAGCCGTGCTAAAGAAAGTAAAAAGAAACTGCGAAAATTACTTCGAATGCTTTTTCTTTAACCTCATCTACCAGAACATTAGCATTTCAAAAATGAAGCCAATGTAAAATACTATGAAGATACAACACGTGTTTTGGCACTAAATTTGGAATGTGGTGTGGAGGTTACACTTACGGTCCATCCGAGCTCCGGCTCGTCCCAAGTCAAGTGCTGGGCGGCCTCCCCGGCTTGGCGGCCGCAGCGCTCATCAGCTCAGCTCTGGACCATCAACTCCATGGCACAAAGCCGGGTTTTGCTCACTACGTACCCAACCGCCTGCACCACGCCTGGCCCGTTGTTTGTAAACCAATCAAGTATTTCATTAACAGCCTGGGTTTTTTTCTTTCCTCAAACAAGCACATATTGACCATATACAATATGACAGACCAAAAAAACCCATGACAGACCCAGAGATGATTAGACCAGAGTGCTTATAATCTAGCACGGGAAGTAATACTGTAAAGAAACGGGAAGTCTGAGGTGCCCCAAGGGAAAAGGAAAAAAAATCCACATTTTAAGCCAAGTAGAAAGGACACGGGTGGGGCTCAGCTATGGCACAGCCCTGGCTACTCAGAGTGAGGGCAGGAGGCAAGAAAGGTTACGGCAGTTCCTGGAGTGACAGTGACAGAAGCTCGACTCAGGGAAAAATCGGGGACCAATGGTGAGGAGGCTGATCAGCAGTGCCTGGCCCAGCCCTGCGTGGGGACCAAATCAGCGGTGGAATTACAATGCAGTTCTGAGCTCGGTGGCTAAAGGGGAAGACGGTGCTGTGATAAACCCATCAGATCCCGAGGGATAACAGACGGATGAAGGAGGGCAGCTAATGATGACTTACCGTCTAGTTCCACACACTAGACCCAACCCACAGGACCTCCCTTTGACCACTCCAACTTCTTCCAAAGTTAGTCATTTCTACCCAGATGAGCAGCAAATGTATTTTCCAGAACAATCCACGAGGAAATGCCAACTGGAGATATGCAAGAGCCCCTCTCTGGGCCTCCGTTTCCTCCTCTATAATAGAAGGAGGGCGGTGCCAGACCAGGCGATCTGAGCCCAGCCCGATGGGCACCTTCCTTCTCACCCGGTCTGCAGACTCACTCTCTGCCTCACAGGAGGGGAGCATCTAACAGGAGAGCAAACTGTTCACTGGACACCTTTCTCCAGCACTACCTGCAAACAGGAAAACTGAAGCCAAGCGCCAGCCCCAAACAGCCACTGCCATCACACGCTGTACCCCGCCCACAGCCAAAGATGCACAGGGCGAGAAGCCCGAAGCAAACCTTCCTGAGCTGGCGCTACGGTGCCCGGTGTTGACGCTGGCGGGCCCCTCTACAAAGCAAGGGCAGCCTTCCTAGAAACAGAAGTGGCTGTGTGTGACTTAGGGACCTCAAACCCAGGGCTGGCGGAGAGGAGCATCCGGGGAAGCTGTCCCGCAGTGCCCGGGGGGCCAACTGAGGCACCTCACCTGAGCCGCTCTTCTTCTTTTTTGCGAAGATTGAAGTCCCGCTGAACCACCTGCAGCACATGCTCCGTTTCGTCGTCGGTCAGACCGGACAGGTCCAGCTTCCTCCCCATGATTTAATGCCAAGTACAGACGACAGCGCGAGGCCTGAGGAATCAAGGAAAGACCACAAATTGAGGGCAAGAGGAAAGCACTCCAGGGACCAAAATCAACCCATTTTCATTATTAGCACAAAATGAATAGTTTTGTCTAAGACGGTGTCTTGTCTGCCCTCATACTCAGCAAACATTTACAATGGCAGGAAGGCAACAGAGACAGAGAGAAAGTAGCTGATCATCTGCCAGAGTCTCATTCATCCCACCCAATCCTTAAATCAGAAAAAAAATACACAAATTACTTTTTTCGACGCAATGAAGCATACAAGAGAGCTAGTGTGGATTTCCACTGAACACCAAAAATCCTATGACCCAAAGATTCTAAATTTTTGTGACTTGAAGTTTTAAATTCTAACTATTATATATAATTCCAAAATAAAATAAATTATAATACTTTTTAAAGTATCCTAAATACACTGTATTCCCCCGAACTTTTCATCACATGGCTATAAAATACAAACTAGGAATCAATAAACTCTCTTCTACAAAAGGAAAAGATATAGTAAATACTCTTATTTGGCCATTTTCTCAGTGGTAGAAAAGACAGTATTTCAAAGGAGCACCTCCCAGCAGTGCAATACCTAGAAATGATGGGAAACTATATTTTTTAAAAATCATTTTTAATGAATGGCTGCACCCAGATGTAAAACCAAATACCTGATTCCAGAAAATTGCCTAGAACTAAAGACCAGCATAAACCTCAATGCAACCTTCCTCTATAAAGTATTGGTAAAACCAGTGCAGCAAGATTTCAAAAAGATTATTATATATAATGACCACGTGGGTTTTACCTAAACAATCTCAGGTTGGCTCAACATTCAAAATCAACCAGTGTCATTCACCACATTAATGGAATAAAGTGGACACTCTGTATGATCGATTCAATGCCCATTCACGGCAGAAACCCTCTGCAAACTTTGATTATAAGGAAACTTCCTCCATTATATAAAATGGAGAAAGTAATAAAATGGAGAAAGTAATAAAATAAAGAAAGGAAGAAAGGAAGGAAGGAGGGAAGGAGAGGTAGGGGAGGAGAGAGAGAGAGAGAGAAGGAGAGAGAGAAAGAGAGAAAAGCAAGCAATAAAGAAAGAAAAAGAAAGAAAACCTAAACTAAAATTAACATCATGCTCAATGACAAAAGACCAAATGGTCTCCCTTAAGGTCAAGAACAAGGATGAACATCTACTCTCTACCTCTACTCATTTCGAAATGCCTTTATTATAAAGCTACATTAATTAAGACAGAGTGGCACCGACACACAGGCAGGTGCTGCTATACCAGAGCACCACAGACTAGGTGGCTTGAAACTTTCCTCACGGTTTTGGAGGCTAGAAGTCTGAGATCAGGGTGTTGGCAGGGTTGGGTTCTTCTGAAGCCTCTCTCTCCTTGGCTTGGAGATGGCCATCTTCCCCCTGTGTGTTCGCACGGTATTCTCTCCACACGTATCAATGTCTGAATGTCTTCTTATAAGGACCCTAGACATAACAGATTACAGACCACCCTAATGACCTCATTTTAACCTAACTGCCTCTTTAAATGTCCTATCTCCAAATTCAGTCACAATTTGAGGCACCAGGGTTAAGGCTTCAATATATGAGTTTTGGGGGGACAGAGCAGCCCACACTCTCTACCTTTTGGCTCCCCAAATTCATGGCCTTCTCACATGCAAACCATATTCAGCCCATCCCACCTAAGTCCACCCCAGCATCAACTCTACGTACAAAATCTCCTTGAAATATTACCTAACTTAGGTACAGGCAAGACATGAGCAATGATTCATCCTGAGGTAAAAACTCTTTTCCAGCTGTGACCCTGTGAAATCTGGCAAGTCATCTGTCCCCAAATGGACCACACAGGAGAGGCACTGGATTGACATTCCCAGTCTAGATGGAAGAAGCCGGAAAGAGGAAGGGGTCTTGGGTCTCAAGTAAATCTGAGAGCAGAGCAAATTCCATTAAATTTTAGGGCTCAAGAACAAGTCCCTTCTCCTGCACCCCCGTGAGCGGCCCTCCCTTCCGAGCCCACAGGTGGCTGTCCCCACTCCCTTGGCCACAGGAGGAGTCCCACCTCCAGCCGTGGGGGCAGCAGCAGCTCCAGGGACCTCCGAATTGCCTTCGGGATCCTTCTTCCCCGTCCCTGAAGGAGAACACAACGTGTGTAGCCAGAGAGCTCTATCAGCCCGGCCCGCAGAATCTCGGAGGACCATCAGGCTGCCTCCGTTTCATCCTGGCTCTGTCTGGTCTACACTGGCAGTGCTCCCGCTGATATAAATTCTCAAAGGCTTTGTTGGCTTCCCGCGTGAGGCACAGAAGGCCAGGCCATCACACAAGAGGGTCCTCTGTGGCTCTTTCCTGAGTAACAAGGGGCTCCATTCCTGGTTTCTGCTGAAACGGCCAACTGGGTTCCCGAGTCGTTCTCATAATCCGTGTAGCAAGTGGCTGCCCAGCCACACCCCTGATGTTCTCCCCAAACACACTTTCTCATTTTTTTGCAACATGGATAGACAGAGAACTCCACAGATCTTTGCATTTGGGTTCCTTCTGCCTAAAAATCCCTTCTTCAGCTCATCTCTCTGCTCTCACATGTTACTACACGCAAGGACAGAGCAGGCCACGCTTCAACACTTTGCTTAGACGCCTCCTCAGCCAAACGCCCAAGCTCATCACTTACAAATTCCACCTCCCAGAAAACACTAGAACACAACTTGGCCAAATTCGCTGCCACTTTAGAGCAAGGGTCCAATTCCTCCACTTCTAGTAACATGTTCCTCATTTCTGTCTGAGACCTCAACAGAAGTACTTTGAACATTCCTATTTTTACCACCTTCTGGTCACGAGGATACCTGTGTTCTCTCAGAAGACGGAAGCTCTCTCTCCGGCCTCCTCTCCCCTTCCTGAGCCCTCAGCACAAACACCTTTACCATCCATGTGGCCACCAACAGTCTCCTTGTGGCAACCTCGGCTTTTTCTAGCCTGTGCCTCAGGACACCTCCACCTCCCCCCATCAGCCACTTCCAAAGCCACCTGCACGTGTCTACACAGAAGCAACAGAGGAAAGAGGAAAAGATGCTTAATTTCACCAGGAATTACAGAATTGCACAGCAAAACCGCACCTCATACCCAGCAACGTGAAAAGCCTTTATCAAGCGTTGAGAGGAGAAGGGACGCCGCAGCGTTCACACAGCGCATACAGACTGGCGCGCTGCTTTGGGGCACCATCGCCACTCTCAAGGCTGACGACGCGTGTCCCCTACGGACCAGCTCCCACCACACCTGGGTCCATGCTCAGATATAATCTTGCAAACATGCGTCGGGAGGCAGGCATTTGGTGGGCTCACGTGAAATTTCAAAGCTTGCACCATTCTGGTCTATAAAAGTGCCCATTTCACACAGTTTGACCTCACAGAAGGTATGACTAGCAGTCACCTTCAAAAAAGCAAAAAGTCAAACACGGCAAATAAAACCTGGAAACTACCCCGCACGTCCATAAATGGGAAGGTCACCAGATATGTATATTTAGTTCGTATAATGGAGCCCCCCCTGCAGTGAAGAAGAGCACACCACAGGTCCATCCAACGACACGGTGAGTCTTAAAACATAACGTTGGCGCAAAACAGCATGTCATGTGCACACACACGTGCAACAGGCACACACTATAATCCCGTTTACCAACGGTTCAGAAGCATAAAATCCCAAATCATGTATTTTTCAGGGATCAATATGGTAAAACTCTAAAGAGCAAGATGGGATGTCTGAAGGGGAGGGCGGATTTGATTGGGATAATTACGGACAGACTTCACAGCACTCACTGCAAAGGCAGTGCTACTGCTGCTGCTTATTATTATTACTATTGTTAACTAATTATTAATAGCATATTATTATTACTTATTGTTATTACTAAAAGGTTCAAGTTTTATACACACTTTTGTCTGTAAGGTTATCTTGCATAAGCATATAAAGTAAAGTAAACCTGACACTAAACAAAACTAATCTGATTTCACCATAATTAGAGCAAACATTCGAAGCACTGTCCAAGGAATATGCTGAGAAGTATAATAAAAGTGATGAAAATGATTTTGAGAAATAGGTCATGAAGGTCAAAAGTACAGCATAGAAAATACAGCCAAGAATCTAATAACATTGTTGACAGACGGTGAGAACACTCGTCGTGAGCACTGAGTGTACAGACTTGTCAAATCACTACACTGTAGACCTGAAACTAATATAAATAACATGGGATGTCAACCATACGATAATAAAAAATTATTAAATTGTTAAATGATTTTGATAGATCGTTATTGACTGAACAGCTACTATGTTCCAAAGGAGCTATAAGTACAGACAAAGATATAGATATAGATATGATGTATTACGCTTGATGTTCTTAACTCTCTGAAATTCTACAGCAGCCACAACCACTGCCACCACTCCCAGATGAGAGGGTGTGGATTTGTACTTCCATGTTCCGGCTGTAAAACAGATAAATGACAACAGACAGCTAGGGTCTGACTGTGTGTAGATCCGGCTGCGAGTCCACGCCTTTACTGCACTTGCACGCCCTCCTGTGAGATGCAGAGGGGGCTCTAACCTCAGGGTTTCCCACTTGGGTCCAGAGTGCCCGGCCCTCTCTCTCTAACACGTTATAAGAGGCGATCCCCTTACTTGGTTGCTGTTCATACAAAGGTGACCTGCTCTTTTAGTTTCCAAATAATGGCAATTAACACAGAGAACAGAGAAGTTCCAGTCCTTAAAAGTCTTCTGTTAAAGGATTTAAAACCTCATGCCTGTATGATGCAAATTAACCTCAAAATGTAGCCAACATATCACAACAGGAATCCCAACTGTTTCAAAAACAAAAAAAAATTTTTTTCACACCACTTATGCCATTTGTCAAAAGTACATCTGTGGTCCACTCTGCACACACATGGTGTTGGGTGGGGTGGTGGGGCCGCGGGGGAGGCAGAGAACCCAGTCCGTCTACCGGTCCGCAGCA